CTGACAGTGACAGCAACTTCGACCGTAATAAAAATGGCAAGTTAAATTGGCCTATAACAGCACTAACACGGTGCAAGAGTTTCAAGTAAAACGACCTTCTAAATGTGGGGAGTCGCCCAACAGTGACAGCGAGCTATACACGTATTATTTTCACCAAATACAGTTCACCATTGTTTGTTTGCCAGAACAGAAATAACTACTTACACAAAATAGTGGCTGAGTAGTCGCCGAATCCACATAATGTAAGATTTGAGGTTTAAACCTATTTTGTATTCTACAAAGTCCCTATTTTGATTCTCGCCACGGAGACCGACCATCCAAACATGTTTTCTTGTGTTAATAGCTCTCTTCAAGACACGACCGATTCGTTTTACACATACCCAAAATTATTAATAGCTAACACACTTGGTAGACAGAAAAATTCAATTTAAAAAGCGATGTTATATAAAATAAACAGGACAACTACTCCCATCAAAATAGACTCTCAAAGATCTCGCAAACCAAATGCATACTTAAATGAAGTTTGTACAGAATTTTTCCTCAAATAATACCTTATCAAATTTTTTGAACGACGATGTTCAAGCACTGGTATCTGGTAACTGAAATTAAGGACTATATTTAATTTCTTACGATATTCAAACATGATTAAAATATCTTTGAGGGGGTTGTAGATTAAATGTGAGAATCCATTTATATAAACACCTCCAGAACAATTAACATTCTATACTTTTGAAATCAAACAGTAGTCAATTCGTATTTATCGAAGTAAAATAAACATTATTTGTAAATACATTTGTAAAATATATCGTAGGGCTGTATTTCAGGGATAAATAGGATATTCCAACGAGTTCAACACTTCTTGCCCATATCTCTTTGAAAGTGGCAAAAACATTTATGGTGCTAGATCACCAAAGGTACCCTCCCATGTCTGCCATTTTACTACGCACAAAAATAAATCTGTATACACATTTAAAATAAGTGTCAAATTCGATATGGTTTTCGGAATATGTAGGCCTACAATGGTTCACTAGCAGTCGTAAGCTTAAAAATTGTCATACAAACTTAATTCTGATTTTAATTTTTTTTCAGTATCAAACAATGTACATTTTATAATGTTACGAAAACGAAACTGAAATGAATTTGTTGTGCTCACTTTCCTTCAACACATGAATTTATTAATTACTATTTAAAATTTTATGTCAATTTCTGATTTCGTTAACTTTGAGATTTCATTACACACGTTAAAACCTAAAATTTTCGCAACGTTTGTTGTTGCTGGCATTTTTACGATATTTCATTCAGAAATTGTGTGGAGTTTATTAACTCGTCACACTAAATTTCACGCGCCCAACTTGCCTGATTTGTTATAGTCACCATGTCAACAGTATGATCTCACTCGCCATGTTGTTATACACTCTACATAGTTTTCTGAAATCTACTGCCTAAAACATTTGAGGGCCGTAGTATGGCTAACGCTAGTCTCTTCCACCTCAAATTCGCACCTCCGCCATCTTAATATTAAAGATGGAAGTAAAATTAAGTACAAAACATGGGATGGCCTCAGGTGGCAATATGTACAAATCCTTTCATTGCTTCCAAAGTTGTTAGATGGGGCACGCACATGACCGTGATATCGCAAACCTAGTTTGCTGACATAAACATGGAACAGCAGGCTGATAAGTATCCAGGTCACCATGCTGTTAATTTCTGCTAAAATACTGCTAATAGCAAGATCCATTAACGATCACGTCGCTGATAATTTATTTTAGGAAGCAGTAAGATGACTACCTTGACTGTGACCTTCATCCTCTCAAAGTACAATATGATCTAGCACTCCTTCCTGTAACTATCGATAACACAAATTCTATCAGACATATTTAAATCTTATTAAATATAACTTGTGTAGGAATTTGAAGAAATGATCTATTTGGCCCAATACAACGTGGAAATAACATGGCTATGTTCAAAGTGAAGCGCCATGTGGTCTGGTAGAAGTTCAACAATGTGTCAGAGGTCCTTGCTGCTTCATCCCGCTGATTATGAAAGCAGCAATAACCTTTGAAACGTTGGTGAACTTCTACCACACTACACGGCGCTACAACCCAGAAGACAGAAATCTTCATACTCATCGCCCTGATGATGGAGGCAGTATGACCTTTGAAACGTTGGTGAACTTCTACCACACTACACGGCGCTACAACCCAGAAGACAGAAATCTTCATACTCATCGCCCTGATGATGGAGGCAGTATGACCTTTGAAACGTTGGTGAACTTCTACCACACTACACGGCGCTACAACCCAGAAGACAGAAATCTTCATACTCATCGCCCTGATGATGGAGGCAGTATGACCTTTGAAACGTTGGTGAACTTCTACCACACTACACGGCGCTACAACCCAGAAGACAGAAATCTTCATACTCATCGCCCTGATGATGGAGGCAGTATGACCTTTGAAACGTTGGTGAACTTCTACCACACTACACGGCGCTACAACCCAGAAGACAGAAATCTTCATACTCATCGCCCTGATGATGGAGGCAGTATGACCTTTGAAACGTTGGTGAACTTCTACCACACTACACGGCGCTACAACCCAGAAGACAGCCATCCTCGTACTCACCGCCGGGGAAACCTCAAAACCTACACTGTGTTGATAGAATCGGTAACTCCTGATCCTGAACGAGAAAAGGACAGTGTGATGTAATTTTGGAAGATTTACACAATTTTCGTGATTTCCAGTCATTACTAACGTGCAACACGATACGGGTGCTACCTGGGGCGCCATCGGGGCTTTACCTCCACGCACTATCAACGCCTTGATTGTATTCTTAGGGCACGGTTGACACAATTCAATGTTCTACCAAATTACACATTTTCTAACGAGCAATGCAGTTCAGACTACCGACACAAGAAAGATTAAGTTTGGCAACAAAGCAAAGATCCCCCTCGCCCCTCTTACTTCGTTACTCCTCCCGCGGTCTCACTTTTTACACACAAACAACAATAGCTGCTGGACCACTCTCAGCAAGGTAGAAGTACAATCCCAGTTTGTTCATCGTTCTGTTGCGGCATGGTAACAAGTATTGCACAAGAAAAATGCACAAAATGAATTATATACAGGCCTACATCATTCCACGTGATAACATATCTCGTTTGTCAGATACCACAATGGTACAATACTGAGACATGCACACATCATTCTGGTTCTTCAATGCTGCATTACCTTAACTACGTACTTAGTTTTAAATTGAACACATTGTCTGGTATTATATTTTCGCACTTCACATGAATGCAAAATGGAGCAACTGCGAGAAAATATTGAATTACCACCAATTAATTTCATACTTGATGTCGCATATTGGAATATAAAATGTCAAACATCAGCATTTTTACCAACATTTACAAACTCACAAAGCAAAATCCTGTTCTCAAACCCGGCCAACACATTCTACAAATGGAATTAGAAATGCATTCTATTCCACGCAGTGACAAAGCTTACTAACACTACAAACTTCAAGAACATAATCAAAGGAGAGAATCTGTTACGTCCTTAATTACGTTGAAATTCCTCGATACATCCAGGCCACTTCAATGCCATTTATATACTTTGAGGCTGTTATCTAGAACGATCCTTGTAACCGGTGAATTGTTACTTTCTGCATGGACAGTATCACGAATCACGTGTATAACAATTTCGTAGTGCTTATATATTTGCTCGGGTAGTTACGGCAGAATATAAAGTTCAATACAAACATGCTGAGTAAATATGACTAAAATTACGAAAGTAAGTTACTCTGGTTTCATACTCTAGCATCTCGGCAGATTAAAATCCGAAATTCACATAAGAAACCTCTTAAAGGCATTACTGAAACAATGCTTAAGACTGCCGAATAAAAGCTGATATGAGAGTCAAAAGGAAAATTACCCCACGGAGAACTCATACAAGAACGAATATTTAATTGTTGCCTTCTAATTCACGGAAGGAAATGTATTCCGTTAGCACGTGTAAAATCATGACGGCCTGAAGTTCGTTATGACGCAGAGCCAAGGACCAACCAACCTTGCCCTTGAATCACAACGTAGCTTGCCCAGACATAGCCTCATGTGATCATGTGACGTGGTGTGTTGTCAAATCTACGCCAAGCCCACTGCCGTTCTACTGCTAATCAGTTTTACGTGCTGCAATAGTACAGGTAATTTCGATTCGAGAAATAAAACTGAGACCTGTCCTCTTACAGGAAACAAAAACCATAATACGGCACTCACATAACAGGCTTCCTGTGTACAAATGATAAAATACTACGATGCATGCTGATCACGTGTGCTTACATGCCCAAAATAAATGGCGGAATAACTATGCACCACAGTTCAATAACATCGTCCGAAAATTTAAAAATCCCTGTAAATTTCAATAGAATTTGCAAGAACAACTGCACAGTATCTCGAAAACATCTAAGTGTTAAACTTAATAAACAACACTTCCTTGATTCTAGAACGTGGGAGGATATAACACATTACGTTATTTAACCACTTCATTAATGGTATGTCACTGCACTTCACAATATAAGATATTTAACAATCACATTCCACTCAACACTTGATAATGCTCCTTAACCTACATTAAATAAAACACTTATTGTGGCAATGCACACCTTACGTTTGTACTAACGATATTATTCACTCGTAACCACAGACAGAAAAGCTAAATGCCTCTCAGTAATCCATCACAAAATATATACACTACGCAACACAATAACAAGCCACTACTAATGTAAAGAATACTGCAAGAATTAATTGCTTCCAACTAAACAAAGATTGCTAATAAAGAAGTTTAAACTTCAAGCAACTTTCTCCAGATTTCTATAAATTATTACTCCCCACATTTCTGTACCGGAGAAGAAGTCACATCTCCCATACAAGCCACCCACAGTCATTAAAAATGAACGAAGTACAATAACATTTAGTAGCCCAAGCAGTATGGATTTATTCCACTCACCTATTTTTTTCCAGTTCGTTATGAGTAGTCCTGAAAAAAATAAGACATCAATAAACAACGATTTTCTAGCTCACATGTATTGTGATACAACAGTCAGTGCACAGGAATGCTATTAATGTAACTGAGGAATACTAACCTGCTTCCCTGAGATTTTTTTGTCTTTGGTCTTTTCATACTTCTGAGATCATCTGGCATTGGCAGTGTTGATGCATATCCATGTTCCGCCTCTGTCATAAAAATATCAAAACAGCGTCAAAATCAGCTGATTTCCAGGCCAACAACTGACATGGGAGCCATGTTGACGTGGATCGAGACTCCAGAATCACAGCTAAAACAAGTATAAACTCACCTCGTTCTCGCCTTTCCAAATATTCCGCAGCTTGCAAAAGTGCAGCAATGCTCATAATTGTTATTTTTAAAGTAAAATACTAAAAGAAGAGAAATATAATACAAATGTGAAGGATCAAACAACAGCACAGGTCCGCGCCCTTACAATACACTCCTGCATTTATTGATGTCAAACGCGTACAGAGCTTTCCTGCGAGAGGTTATAAGAGCTGCGCTACAATTGGCTACTCGTTACTAAACGTCACACCAGTAACCAATAGAGCATTCGGTTTTATCCACCCGAATTACCTGAGAAGTCACGTGAATCTCATGCCTCGAAAGAAAACAAACAGCTGGGTAGCAAACGAACGAGCATGGGTGTGCACGCAACTGTCCAGGATTATATTAAAAACATAGAAAATAAACAATATACCCCCATACAATCAGCAATAATATCCGCAAGTGAATATTTCCATATTAAAGACTGGGTTCTAAGCTGCATGCTATTTCAGTTGACTGAACTTCGTTTCATTGGAATGTTATTTGCAAAAATATACCTAGGACAATAGTTTTCCTCCGCAAACTTATCATGCAACGTCGGATTTTGTAGAAACAAAAGATTCATTCGAGCACCTTAAAAATGAATGAATTATATATTTAAAACGGAGACAAAAACTCTCCCTCTCCTGATTACATGCGCATCTATGCTTCCTTATGTAATTAACGTAGTGGACGCTACGTCCTTACACCGTATTCAAATTATATTAGAAGCCCTAATATTGAAAGCAATATTAGTTTAGGTGAACTTGAACCCTTTTTCCGATGAGATCTCTCAGTAACCATAAGTAATGACAAGGTTTACATACAGAGATTCGTTCATATATTCCCCATAATATTTATATACGAACGCATACCATTAGACATAAACTGCATTATTGGAAACATCACTGGATTTATTGGGACCTTTTTGACTTACTAATACACCAGCAAAATTTTCTTATGCAATTGATGCGCTTTCCCTTCATGGCAAAAGAATATGTTGGGCCTTTCTTATTTCAACCGATAGCACGTATATCTAAATTTTATCTTTTAAGCCCTTAATTGCTACCTTTCCTGACGAAAATCAGTTTATAAGTGTCATTGTTATAGTATGTTTGTCACTGGCCACAATTTAAACTAGTATTTCTGTTTACAAACTCCGTTTTCTCCGCCACCTATCATCCGAATTGAGAATTAAATCTGTCACTGCAGTACTTCTATAGACATTTGGTCATCGTCTTGTACAGACCAACACAAGGCCATGCAACGCGCGCACAAACACAAAGCTCTCATTCATCCCATCACAATTTTGTGTGTATATATACACATGTACAAATGACACAGCTGGTGTATAAATTCAGCTTGCATCCCCTTTCAGTTCAGAGACTGTAGTTGCTGAAACATCTTTGAGATTGGAAAATATTTAGGTTATAATTGCTCAGGGATGGGGTCAGACATGGATCCCTTTCCAAGTAAAAATTCTATTAAACTACGAATTTTTACCATTACAGAGACACTGGATATTGAGGATTTTGAGGTTAAAACTAATTTAACTAAAAAAAACAGGCACACTTCTAGGATTTGAGAACTATTGCTGGTATTAATGAAGCATTTTGTTATTGCTGATAAGAAAATACATTTTTAAAACTTTGTTTATATATAATGCATCCACAAAGTAGTTTATACAAACTGCAACTTAAACTTACATTCCACAAAATTAAATTAAATTTTATCACATTCAGTAGTCAGGATATCATCTGGCCCAATGACCTCTTCTTCCTGAAATGAAGAAATCAAATTGTAAATGCAAACAAAAGTGATGCCACTTAGAGTTGGGCTGTAATAAAGAACCAAATACCTGTGTGGACTGGAGCATTTGAAACACTCACTTTTAGTCACTTGACACTATAATTTAATGGCTCTTGTACTATTTAAGGTACAACACTCATAAGTGGGCCACACATGTTGATCTAAAAATTACTTCATTAGATCTGTCATAGACGTATGCCACCCGCTTTATCAATCCATAACTCTGCACTTTGCCCACAGAGTGTATTTATGTATTTCTCTACAGAGAAAAAAAAATCATTACCTACAATAAAATACATTTATATAAAGACTGCACCCCAGATAAAGAACAGCTTTACTACATGAACATTTTATCACTATTCATGAAATAAAAATACAGTAACGTTTGCCATCACCTTCATAATTAAAACGTATCACAAATTAAGCTACAACTGTAGAATGCCCCAATATCTCACTTTTGCAAAATGTAAATACCTCTTTAGTGTAGTTTTCTAAAAGAGCACTAGAGAATCTCCTGCGAGACAGGACAGAATCCAAATTATTTTTTTAGTTTTGATAAGAGTAGGTCACTTACCAGCATAAGATCTCAAAGAGGAAAATGATGAAAAACTAAAATGATTGTCCACACTGGTACCTGGAAAACTTGGAGCAAACATGAGAATGTTGGCCCCACTGGAATCATATCTAGTCCATTTCATTGTCTTTTTGGGCTCTTAGGCTGGCATGTGCTACCTTGAAACTTCAATGATTTTATGATTCTTCTGGTTTTGAAAACATTTTATATCCCCATGTGTTGGATTTCTCTATCATCAGAGTGTTTCTTTTTTATATTTTATTAAAAACTCTTAGGTGATTAATTAAGTCCAGCAGAATAATAAACATACTGCATCACATCTTCAGAAATCTTTAAACAAAGATTTTAAATGCCAGTTGATTACAAAATCACAAACTGTGTGCTGACTTACCTGTCATCTTCTGGACCATCAGAAGATGTGGTACTTCGACGTCTTCTGTGCCGTCTCTGCGGCTCATGAGAAGGCCCAGGTTTTGATTCGGGTCCTAGCAATTCTTGAACTGAAATTATATGATCTATTTTGCAACATAATCAAATATAGTTTCAACTGTAGTAAACCAAATCGAATAATTTCTGCCTTTTGAAAGGATGCTTTTTATTGTGATTCACATCAGAAACTGTGAAAGGTTTTGCGGATATTACGAAGTCTGCACACATATGCCAGTTTCCTTTTTAAAAATACAAGAGTACCTATGGAACTTTGCAACTTTCAAAAGAAGAAATAAACTTACTGAATTAATATCAGATCTGCATTTTCTTCTAAATTAAATCATTTCAGAACATACTGTATTAATATATAAAACTTGATTTGAGATTACCATAGGACACAAAGGAACAGATATGGTAACAGAATTTTTGAAGCAATTCCACATCAGGAGGAAAGAAACCAAATTTCACTACAATCATCCAGACAATATGTTTCTGACCACAGCTACTCATACCTTTCCTTTCTTCAACGACCTCTTGCCGCCGATTCTTCATCTCCACCGATTGGTTTTCAACCATTCGGTCAATAAAATTATCCAGGGCAATGGACCCATTTTGACACGTGATACGTGTTTGACAGATGGGGCAATTCTTTTTCTGTTTCATTCTTTTTAAAATGCAAGAGCGGCAGAAAGTGTGAGCTCAGTTCAGTGTTGTTGCCTGTGAAAATAAATTATTTGATATTGTAAAGATTATATTATAAAGTGATGATAGGATATATGGTTCTTGACCAACTGTTCAGTAACACAGTATTTCAATTAAATTTTAAATTTACAAATTACTACATACTTTCATCACATAGCTAAATATGTGTTACACTCATATTTATTGCTTGCACACAGAAATCAAAAAGAACAGACAAACCCTCTGCTTCTCCATATAAACACCAAAGTGATCAAGATGTCTGTCCAGTTATACTCTCGTCATTTCCGGAACGTGTTGCTGAGGACACTTTGGGAGATACAGGGGCATATTCCTCGAGTTCCTAGACCCAGGGGGCAATAGTACACGCAGACCAAGAAGCACATCTCACAAAACCCAAAGAAAGGCCTCCAGAGGAAATGTCCTACTTTGCTTACAAAGAAAATTATCCTTCTCCCCAAACAAGGCCCACTCCATGTAGCGAGCATCACGCTGCAACTCCTACGGTATGTTCATTGGGAATGTCTTGTCCCCATCCATCATACAGCCCAGAACGTGCGCCTAGAGACTTCTGCTTCGATTTATTCTCAGTGGGAATCAGAGAGGTGGTACATCGCTAGGATGTCTCAATTTCTCTGGTAATTACATAGTCAAATAGAGTGTTTGTCCGTTGTCCCTCGTCCTTTTAAAAGTCTATGTCAGTGTAATACAAGTATAACACAGCATCAGAAATTACTTACTAAACAAACCTCAAACTTCACAATTTAAGAAAATAAGAAGAAATTCAGTGTTGAATCCACACCCTCTTATCCCTAACACAGATCTTTTCATTTACTTATTTATTCGAGGGTTTCTTGAGCCTTCTTTATGCTTCAAGAAAAAGGTCATAAGCAAGGCATATATTAATTTTAGCACAAATATATTGATGTTTATATGATGCGGCTTGTTGACTATAGTTAAACACCTGGATTCAAACATGTGTACTGGCTTTACGTCAAGGAACTTACCATAAGAAAAAATTCACTGCAGATACTACAACGTAATTCTGGTTCTATGGGCTGTAGAAAATTAGATAGCAGCTCCTGCTTTGCTTTGAGCCACGATTCTGATGCATCGTTTTTGGAATTTGTTATTTCTTCCAGTACTTGTTAAAAATACTGCTTGTTTCCTTCAGTATTAGACAAATCTATTTCTACTTTCTGAAGTACCTCCTGCATTCGTTTTAAGTTTTTAGCTGATGTTCCCTCCTTCTTAGACAGTTCTTCTGTAATTAAAAATTCCAATTACAGTAACACGTCACCACAGCACCCTTTGGGAAACTTTATTTTTTCTGAAACTCTGTAAGGTAAATTAATGAGGACAGTGTTTTATTATTTTCATGCAACTTTCTTCAAACTTCAACAAACTGAATGAAATGGCTGCGACATACCAAAGGACTTTGATGGCAGGATTCAACACTAATATTAGAACATCTCAAAAGAATGGTCAATGCTGATAAGTGTGTATCAAAGTGCACTAAGGAGTGATAAATACAGGATTATAATATGGTATACCTCTTATATCATTCTCTATTTTGACCTTTTCTTCCTACAGGCCCTGCACTTGTCTTGCTACCTGAATTTTAAAACCATCTACATTTGCTGAAACTTCTTTCCAAAGGTCTTCCAGCAGGACTTTGTTCTGTGCGTCCTTCTCTTCCTGAAGCTGTTTCTGTAATAATTGTTACAAATATTGTCAAAATAGTGAATCTGCTCGTCTCTTAGAATCTACTTTTGAAATTAATTTTTATGTCCCAGATAAAAACAGCTTACCAAATCTTTCAGCCTTTGTTTTTCCTTCTCCTGTAACTTTTTGTACAACAATTTATTGGACATTTCCTTTTCTCTTAGCTTTTTGTACAACAATTCTTCGGACATTTCCTTTTCTCTTAGCTTTTTGTACAACAATTTATTGGACATTTCCTTTTCTCTTAGCTTTTTGTACAACAATTCTTCGGACATTTCCTTTTCTCTTAGCTTTTTTGTACAACAATTCTACGGACTTTTTCTTTTTTGCTAGTAAAGTTTGCATTTCCTTCAATCTTTCTTCTAGTATGCAACTTTCCTGGTGAAGATGAAACAAGGAACATTTATTAAAGAAGTTTTCTTCTTCTATCACTTTAGAAGGGAAAAAATGTTTAATCACTGTTCTTATGCAATATACCACAAAGATTTATGGACGAGCGCCAAACATTCTTAACATAAACAATGAATGAAGGTGGATGGTCAGTGTCGCATTCTGGCCACTTTGCCCTACGGAAAAAGGCTTCCACTGCCTACTGGATAGGACGTCAGGTAAGCCCCAGAAGAGTGGTGCACATGGTGGCAAACATAAAATAACAAACTCCCCCACTTGGAATCAAACCCTGGTCATTTTATCAACAGACCTATCTCAGCAAAAGTCAAACATTTATTACATAAAGTAAATAATCTCTCTTATGAATACTTGCATATTAAATAATATTCTGTCTTCCCAAAAATTTTTTAAGCTGTCCCACTATATGCCATTTAGGCGCTTGAGGTGAGTGGAGGTATAGCTCCTACTCAGTCTTGACCTCAGCACTAGATGGGGGTGAGTGGTCAGCATCACGCCCCGGGAAAGGACCCCAGTACCCATTGGATAGGAGGGTCGGTGGGCCCCAGAGCCGGTCTGGACGCAGAGGCTAGAGGAAAAATCCTCTGCCCCTCCGTGCTATATAATCTGAGCTACTGCAAACATCATTAAATAATTAACAAAGAACTGAATAAACAAAACAATACTTGTAGCAGTTTTTCCTGTACGTCTAATTTCTCCTCATGGTCCATCATCTCTCGCTGTTCTGGGTATGTCTTTATTTTCAATTCCATCATCTGTTTCTCCGTCTGCAATCCCTCTTCTTCTAAAGTACTACAAAGAATACCAATAATGTTTATCGTTATCAACCAACTTATATACAAGACAGTATCAAGTACACATTTCACAATCGCTGCTTTTGTGGATAATAAATAAAAGGAAATCTTTTGGCACCCATGCCGAGTCACAGCCTTTCCACCGCGCATATATTTTTGCCTTTTGTAGCTAATCAGTTGTGGTAACAGCCCAGTTTCAGTCTGTACGTAATGCTGAATAACAAACCAGAGTCCATACTGAAGGCATCTCAAATATTTATTTGTAAGTAACAATTTGTTTTATCTTTGATGCTACTCTTCTGGGTTGTAGCACCATTTGGACTAGTAGGCATATACCAATAAACAATTGTACATGTCCACAGTATTACAACCCAGAAGATGAACACTGACACCTTCACTACTGTGAGGACCTTAGACCTCAATTTATGTTTTATCTATCGTCCCACGTTCAGTAAATAAATATTTAAATTTGAAATAGCAACATTCCATTATGGAAATGCTATAATTTAGCGTACTTTTCTACCCACTGTGATAATTTCAACTACTGAAATATTAAGACATAATTGGAACCTGAAGTTTATTACGCACTTAGGACATGCAGACCACTTTCAAACAGAAGTGGTGAGGGGGGGAAAAGTTTAAAAACAGCATTGAAATGGAGTCACTATGGTTTACTTCATAAATTGATTTTTTTTAAGTTGCATATGTTGTTTATATCTGGTCCCCAAAATAGTTACAACTTGGTGACTGTGTAAAGCATGATAATAATTCATTCTTCAATGTCTAGTTTTAAAATATGGTAACCAGTCAATTATGCATGTTTTTCTCAAACAATGTTTTGACATGTGAAAAGCAGAGAAATGTCATAAGGGTGAAAAGCCAAAATACAAGTAGTATGTACTTACACTTCCCCATCCACCCTTATATTCTTCAAAGGATTCGTGGAGATATCTTCCGTGTAGAAAATGTACCTAAAATTATTACAAGTGCCAAATTCAACCTCATCACCATCTCTTAATGCAGTTGGTGTATCTTTCTTCAGCTTCTCGCCGTTCACTTACACTCTGAAAGTAATTTTTTTTTTAGAATAATATATATGAATTATTCATATTTGTGCATAATAATTCTATGACAAGCAGAAAATCTACCAAAATAAATTTTAATTAATATACTATTTATATTAAAATGGCTGTCTCCTGGGATGTTGTGCCATGTGATATGGCAGAAGTTGACTGGTGTGAACATGCAGATTTTTGGACATGTTCAGCGAAGTCAGTGTCTCCCTTGAAAACACTTTCTCCATTCAGGAAAGGGTCTAGTGATTATTATAATCTTAACTAAGTGTATTATTTCTGTATTTGCCGGTAATTGGCTACAATATTCAATACAAGAAATGTTTGATTGATCTATTATATATATTCATTAATATATTTAGTTTTGTTTGTTTGTTTTTTGTATATGTAGGTATTATCAGTGATTGCCTGTCATTGGCTAATCGCTGTTGGCATACACTTTAAAAAATTAATTGAATACTTATATTTGCTTATATGATACGTATATCTTTAACAATGTTGTTGACATATGGCTCACTTTATCACAAACTGTCCATATTCCATTTGTCTTCTTAAATATGCATTGAGTTTTTGAAACAAAAGGGCTGCAGATGACAAACGATGAAGATTCGGAGCTACCAACAATAAACTGAAACAATTCAAAATATACTGCATTGCAAATGAATTCACTTATACAGCAAAGTTCAAAATAATAGTGTTTAATAAAACCTACAATGATACACATACTTCAACTCCCTGATGATGATGATGATAGTAAGAACCTCTCAAGTGTTGGTCAATTTCTACAAGATTGCATATTGCCAGAAAACAATCATCTTGTAACTAAAATTGTTAGGTGTAAATTTGTTAAGAAAGTAGTTGCTTTCTGTTGCTGAACTGATACACATAGAAGTTCTGATTTTCCTCAGTGTATAATATAAGACATGAAGTACTGACTCTTAATTTGAAAGAATAAAAATGCAAGTATTTTAAAACAAACAATAAAAAATACGTGGACCTAAGAGAGGTCATCGGGACTGAGAATTGTAAAAAAGACTCTACAAATTTTGATGAGAAATCTCTTTGAAGACTGGAAATTGGTGGATCTTTTATTGAAATGGGCTTTACAGAAATGTGTTGTAAGTGAACTGGTTCATTAATAATGAGTTACTCCCCCAAACATCTCATTCGCTTTAATTCAAAGTCAAATCCTAATTCCAATGTCAAAAATGGTTGTCATCTGAGATGTGTGAATTCATTGGAATGCTTTGGTATTTGTATCATAATCTGTATATGCAATGTTGTGCAAAACTTACCTCTGGAGGAATGACATCAATCTTTTAGTACTTCTTAGTAACGTAAGACCTTATGTTGGGCAGAACTTACCTCTGGATGAATGATATTAATCTTTGAGTACTTGTCAGAAACCCCTGACCCTATCAACACGGCACCTTCTAGCTCCACCATTCTTTTGACCTATACGCAACGTATTCTGAAAACCAAATAAATATATGTAAAATCTGTTTCGAGGTAAGACATTACATACTATACGCATGCCACCTTCACACCCTATTAACATACAGTACCACCAACACAAGGAATATTAGTAAATCGCTCGTTAACAATGGCGGGAAAATTCAAAGTGGTACGAAACACGTTTCTATTGGAAAGTGAAACAAATGAGCATATAAAAATTACAATCCTTGCTTAATTTGTGAAAGCTGCCATGCGTTGAGAGGATGGTTTTCATTGGCACAGAATACTACAGTTAATCCATTGAAATATCTCTTCGGGGATGCACCTATAATCATAATTTGTACGACTCAGGAACAAAATTCCTATTGCCGGGAGTAGAGTAGCCGTACGAAACCAAAAGAACCTGTGTTTGTTAGAGCATAACGACTTCAGAACATTATTCACAGAGGTACAGACGATCTGTTTATTATATCATGTAGAGTAAACAGAGGCACAGATAAAATCAACTTTATGTAGAATGCCTAAATGACATGACCAGGCTTTGTATTTGTTGCGATCTCTCGAAAAGGATTCTGATATGACGTATATTGTATTGCATTGTACAGCACAGATAATTGACAGTCTAATAATAATAATTTATTTACATTCCATGGATCCATAAAACATTCAGATGACAATAGGATGTGGAAAAAGTCATAATAATAAAAATAATAATACATATTATAAAGTACAATTCATACTATTATATAAATTTCACATAATACAAAACAAAGTATTCACCTAAAGAAATGACAAGCTACAAATAGATCTACTCATTACAAAGAAAATGTTATCACTTATTTGTGAACAACATACCAAAAATTTAGCATTTACATTTCTTGGCTACAAGTAGGCTAGTAAAGTTGCTATTCATTACCATCATCTTATTTATACTTCTTGGCTGCATCACAATCACTCATATTCTGTCATCCTTGTCTCTACTTACCGTAATGATACAACAACGTTATGGAGTATGGGGCATCACACATTTCAGTTGAACTGCTAGCATAAATACTTCAGTCACTATCAGTTCTAATATCAAATGCAAATAGCATGGCCTCAATCCTAATTCTGAATGAAGTGATAATCACTTCTTCAGGCTTCTTCTTCTTTCTCTTGTATAGAATTCGTTATTTTCTGATCAAACATTTAGACGCAACTGTGCCCCACATGGTAGCTCACAAATGATCCAATTCTAATTAATTCTGCATATATATGTCAAACAGTTAGCTAAATTGAAGATATTTATCAAAGTGATCTCAAAACGTTCTTCACCTTTGATAGCAACTGATAAACAAATTTCCTCCATTCTTCCATACAGAACTGCATGAAACAAAAAATAGTGGGGCAAGCAAATCACAGAACATTATGCACATTTGTCAACTGTCAACCACGGCTATTATACACATCGTAAAAATATCGCCTCTAACAATACCTTCAAAAATGTTGTAACAATTTATTGGAGGACACTTAAGAGTTTTCCTAAACGTCACTAAAGACTGGCCACCAATGTGATTCAAGAAGTACAGATTAATGCAAATTGGCTTAAGAAGTAAGAATGTTGGAACAAACTATGCACGGAGTTGAAGGAAGATATTGATGCATGGTCTGAAGCAACTTTTGGTGCTTACAGCACACTTGAGATACCATTTTCTTTTCTTCTGGTGTATTAGAATTAGAATAGAGAACTTACATTTAAGAGGAGACCTATTTTCAAGTAATGTACGAATATCAACTTCTTTCTCTTTTTAATTTTCTCGGGCAATAAGTCACATTAATTGTGAGTCTAAAACCAATGTTTCAGAGACAAACTCTATCTCCATCATCAGGATCAGTGTGAATGTTGGTTTCTGACAACATTCTTGTGGCTGACTGACCAAGAGGATTTTATAACATTCATGTGTGATCAACGTTTTAAACCTTACAGAAGTTTAAAATGACTGAGCAAATTCAATGGTTTCCAAACTTTACATAATGGTGCCCCCTCGGCGCAGCAAAGACTTCAGCGATCCCCACCTCCTCAACTTTGTATTTATTTATCAGCTTTTCATTTTTGAAATACATACATTTTTAGGTCTTTATCAATTAAGAACATACACCATGATTTTATAAATATTATTGAAATAATGCATCTGTGTGATTAATGAAACTCTAATTTTTGTCATTTGAAAAATTGTGACAATTTGATGATCAGCTGAGTGACTTATGAGCTTCTCAATGATTCTGCAGCATCGAGTTGTCACATATGCACAACAGGCAATATACCCAATAAGTTTAATGCATTATGCAACACTTGCTGAATGCCTCGTAACAGATACAGACGTGCAAACATTACAGGTAACAAGTGGGTTCTTGAATCCTAGAACACAAAATTTGCAGTTACATTTTCTCCTTATTTCCAATGCACTGACACTGATAATAATTCAGTTCAAATCTTTGTTTTAATGTGCTAATTCAGCAGCTACAGTAGCCAATTACAGAGTCAGTACAAGAAAATGAAATACAAAGAAGAGAAAACAATAAAAGACAAGTGAAAATTATACTAAACTAATGCATAAAGTGAAGATTTCATGGAAAGTCAAGTTAATGAAAAATTCTTGGGTTACAAACCACACCAGGTGGCTGAACGGTGAATAAACCATATCTTCTGGTGTTTCCCATCAGCGAGCCCGCGACAAAGGAACAGATTTGTTACCAAGCAGCCCTGGGGACGAGAGCAGAGATTGTTCTCGAAACGTTTGATGCGGCTTGTAACCTGAGAATCTTTCATATACTAAACTAAATACTCATAGAAAAATTCAACCCAACACTTTCTCTTATTGAGACTGTGTCCTCAAAGGAAACAATGTTCCTGCCAAAAATGTTCAAAAACTTGTTTATGTCAACTGCAGAAATGATGCACTCAGCTGAAAGACAGTGTCTTAATGCACTACTCATATTGAAAGCAGAAAATTCTCTTGTTTGCCTTGTAGATACACAAATACCATAAGTGTCCAGGATGAAATGAAAATTTATTTTGCCCTCAAAAATATTAATAAGAAATAAAGCATTGAGATGTCGCCTGGAATAGTGTGTTCTAAAATTTAAATACTTCAAAATTAAATCACAATTACATAAAATACCAATAAAAAAGACAATAACACAAATTGTATAATTCTTTTTTCTCTTTTATTGGAGTCAGTCGATGTAAGATTATTTATTCGACAGAGGCATAATCCAGCTTTTGACCTAACTAAAGCAATATATAAAACTACTAGAATGTCTAAGAAAGGGAAAATGTAAGCAATAAAACATTAAAGTTCTGGTGTCCTTAGTGTCTGAGAATATAAAAAATAATGTGAAAATTAAAATACAAGTTACTATCGAATTAAATGTCGCTCTTGGTGTACTAGTGGTTAGTGTGCTTGCCACTGGACCCAAGGTTTGCGGGTTCAAACACGACAGGGCTTGATGGATTTTTAAGGATGATAACAAATCCGTAGCACAGCTTCCTTTAGAGGGGAAGTAAAGCTGGTGGTCCCATGTCGTAAATTTACGGCATGTAAAAGAACCTTACGAGCATGAACGAGATGTTTCGTAAGCAAAATTCAGCGGCCATTTCTGACCCATGTCTCTCCTGATTCTCTGTTAGACGGCTCTAGCGCAGAAATCAGGATTGAGTAGAAATTGTGCAGAGGCAGTGGGCTTGTCACTCGCTACTCACAAATACACTCTTCAAAGACTAGGAAACCTCCCACATGGGAGGAGGCCAAGGTCCGACTCGGGCCGTAGTGCCATTGGATGCATCTAATGAAACACCAGATCCTTATACAGTACGAACGAAAAAATTAAACCATCAATGACACGGTTATTAAACTGAACGTCCAAAATCTGCATACAACATTTTCAGCAATGTTCCCTGAAGAAAATATGAAGTCTAGGCCTCAGTAATCAAGACTGCGATTTGTAAACTGACAATACTGTGATAATAGTAAGCAATAAATCCAATTTAAAAAATCTGTAGTTTTAATTACTGATCTCCGTTACAATATGAACTTATAATTCTCTTAGATTTCAAATGTTTGTTACTTTGTTTCAACTGAAAAGTTTGTACACCATAAAATGAAGCATGAAGCCTATTATGAAGAATAGAAAAGCAACTAAGGACTTGCAAGGTGGCAGTCATGACGTTTCAATATACTGCCCATATCTACGCATTCACTTCGATAGCGTACTCAAAAACCCGAGGCGGACACCGTGGGACACAAAAGCATAGCCAGAGAGGAGAGATAAAAACTAATTAACAAAACTGTCATTGTATATACATACAGTGAGAATGTGTACTCTTCTGTAGTACACACTGAAACAGCTGCACATTGCCATGATAAAACTGCACACCAGATGAGGAGAAAGTTTTCCATGTTCCACATTCTGTACTGAATTCTGCAGCACGCTTGGATAAGACAGAAGATATAAGAATAAAAGGTCCCATTCCTCCTGTAAAAGAAATATTACAGAAATAACCTCCAAGTCTCACACCACTAAGTTATTCAAACAGCATTTCCTAAGCTTTTGCATCCCACAAACCACTTTCATGGCAGGGTATTATATCATGAACCCCGCTGAAAAAATATTTTGGAGTGACTGTCATTTTCATGCGTTGTAATCTCATAATGTTTTCAAGTGATTAAAAAACCTCAATAAAGCTACTTTCATTTTTTGATCACAAAATGCCTCATTGCTTAAGACTATTATGCTTACTTTAAAAAACAAAAAACACATAGAGCAAATTTTGACTTAAGTCACCATGCGAGCCATTTTGGTGGATGATGCAATGGGTTTACTCGATCCTAAAATATTCCAAACAACATGAAGTATTTTTCCTGTCAAATATCGTATACTTAAAAAAAGAAAGACCCTGTGATGATGGGAACATCACGGCATGAAGCGAAGCTTTCGCAGCAACTGAAGTTGATGAAATATTCTCGGGCTACAAGGCGCGTCAGGTGGCCCGAGAGGATTTCATCAACATTACGGCAGTCAACTCAATTTTTCAGCCACACATCTGAAGTTGTACGATAAAAGAAGGCCATGAAACTAACTCACATCTTTGGATAAAAGAGAGAAGTCCACTTCTTCATAAGAGATCAGATGAGGATAATATCCTAACTGAACCTTCTCTTCAAACTGCCTGAGAATTGTAGCAATGCGGGCACAATTATACAAGATAAATGTAGCACCTGCAAGATTAAAATAATTATTAAGTGGTGCAGATGAAAAACAGAAAAACCAAGTGTTCTGTAAAAGTGCTCTGGATTCAGATCACTTGGTGCAAATGTGGAACTACTTGATTATAAAAACAGCTATTGGAAGACATGGATAAACATTTTAAAACAATTTTACAACAGAGGGTATGAAATGAGACAATAATACAAAAACAAAAGAAGAAGGAACAGGACTTAGAAATATAAAATATAATATAAATTACAGTGACAGTTATACAACACGCTTTACAAATGCAAAAGACAATGAACACCTTCAAATATGGAAGGAGAATGATAATTATATAAAGCAGAAGCATATCTCAAATGGTTAAACAAAATGAAACAAGAGAATTTAAATGAGATTTGAGAAAATTTATAAGGCATGACTCGGAATTATTTGTATTCAGAATTAAACAATACATAGAAGGATATAAAACAATTAAAAATACCTATAACAATTTGAAGATCAGACAATTAGTGTACCATTGATGGCACATTACGGAAAACTAATTTGGATGGGGGGGGGGGGGAATTT